GATAGGCTTTGGGATGCATTCATTGATGCGTTACGTACAACAGCATATTTTGAACCAGATATCACAATGTGATTATCAAGTATATTAGTACACGCTATTCTATAGTTCATCCCTAAATATAAATGCATATTTGAAGAGCATATATAATTGCTAACAATTCTTTTTCATAAATAGAGCAGTTTAATTTTGCTGCCGTTAACTTTCGCGATTCGAATGCTACAGATTGTTCATTTCTTTCTTGGATTTGTAACAACACTGCCCTGATTGCTGTATCTAACGCATCTATTGTGACTATAAATATTTTATTAAAATCTGGTATTATTAATACTGGTAGTATTAGTAATGATTTTTTTAGATTTTCAAAGTGACAATTTGCTGTTCTTTTCATTTAAATAGTTGTTCTTTATACAATAGTTTAGTTAAGGATATTGCTATTTTCGAAAAATCTGCTATAAATTTTTGATAATAGCTAGTGATGCCCAAGAAAGATCTGACTTTATGAACATTAGTAAGCACAAGCCATTTTTGTATAACTTTGATTTTCTTTGAGTTAGCTTTAATACCTTCATATGTAATTATATGACCCAAAAATTCTATTTCTTGTTTTACCCAATCATATTTAGATATTTTACTATATAGCATAAGACAGCTTATCCTGACAACTACTTTATAAAAGTGGCCAAATTTCAAAAATATGTATGATTACGTGCATATGCATATAGCCAATCATATATCATACCAAACATAGTAAATTTTTATATACAATAATAAACTTTTTATTTAGTAATTTCTTTATTTATTATTTATAATAAAGCCTATAAACAATACAATAAAATTTTATGGTAATATAGTTTTATTGATTTGGCAGTAACTTTTTTGTTTATGAATAGCATATTTAGCAGCTTCTCCTGTTAGCCCATATCTATATGCATCTATCCATCAAAAACTTTGTCAAGTATATGCATGAATTTGTTCAACTAGAACTGAATCCAAAGCTTTAGGAACAGTTTGGCAAAGACCTTTCCAGGAATAATCACAGTACGTTCTTGTATATACTTTTGTAGTACCCCAATACATCTCTATATAATTAAGTTCTGGGTGAAATTTGGGATAAAAAATTACTTTATGTCCTCTTTGTTCTAATTTCTCTTGAATTAATCCTTGTTAGGCCTTAAAATCTGATTGATTAGCAAGTATTTGGCAGGCACAACATTCTGCTCCAGTATGTTCTTTTTTGCAGTTTAATACTAATCCTTCTCACCATAATCCACGCTCCTGTAAAACAATCTTCATTCCTTAATTATAAATAAATAAATTATATAAATTTATAAATTTTAAATATAAAATTTAAAATACTATATTTAATATAGATATTACTAAGAAAAATCTATAATTTTAACAATAAATTATTATAAATTTTATAATAATCTATTTTTATAATGGTAGATTTTTTCTTAATAGCAATTATATAAAAATTTTTACCTTTTGCTTAACCTCATAAACTAATACCTAAATCTTCTGAGTCATCTGTATAATTCAAAGGAAACACCATTTCTTGTATATGGCCATTCCATATAGTTGAACGCATTTTTGGTTGTTGGCTTCTAGGATTTAAGTTCATTTTATAAGCATTCAATGCATCTGGTGCCATTATAGTGTGAATTGTTGAATTATCAAATGCCCATATACCAACAGTTCCTGGGTATGTTCTCTCAAAAATAAGAACAGCTTTGTGTACTTGATCTAATAATCTTTTACTATTCCAATATCTATCCCGATCTGCACCCAATACTATAGTAACCTGTGCTTCCTCTTCACCATCCTTTAATCGTCCAATTTTCTCAGTTAAAAATTCACTAACCCTTTTTTTCTTAAAGGTTGCTTATTTTGTGGTTCCCAAAAAATTTGCTCTATCATAAACATGAAATGTTGACTCATCATGTATTACTAAAATATGAGGCTTTTGACTTTGATATAATGTTGGCAATGTTTTTACCTTACATTCTTTGTCTAACCACTTAGGCATTAATAATTCAAACTTAGCCATTTGGCTTAAAAATTCTTTTCTATAGACAATTACGTCAGGGTGCTCATGGCCATCAATATATATTCTCTTTTGATACTGCTTATAAACAAAACCAAAGTGATATAACCATCTTCGTGCTGTCCGAATACTTATCGTTTGTGGAGTAGTAAATTCAAGATCTGGAACTATTTGTTTCTCAAAATATTGTTTTACTAAACGAAGATTTATTTTAAATTTAGTTGATCTAAGGTATGAAGCTATATGCATAGATACAGTTTTATTATAAAGAAGCAATTTGGATAGATATTTTCCACAATAGCATTGAGGTATAGTTTCATCTATTATAATAATCTATTATATTAATACTGTAATAAGTTTATATCTGAGCACTGCTAAATTAAAACTTGTAAGTAAAAATTTGGCCCACAAATATTTTACAATTTTGACAAATCAAGTTTCAAGATTAGAATAATCTTAAAATTTGATTGATCAAATCATAAAATATTTGTGAAATCAAATTTTTACTTACAGATTTTAATTTAACAGCACATATTTAATACTAATATTGAATAAATTTTATAAATTACCTTTTAAACATAGTACTGCCCACCTTCTTATATATCGAGCAAGGTATTTACCTTTATTACAAATAGCTGCAACAGTTTCACTTGATTCTATTTTTTTTCCATTTTGTAAAAGATGCAAGTACCAAACAACTGACTGATACCGTGCTAACTCAGTTTTGCTAAGTTTTTCATTTTTTATATACTGATCGATTCTTTTGATCGTATCTTTAATACTTTGTTTTTGATTTTTACCATCATCATAATCTACATTTTCGATTATATCCTCAATACTTTGTTGATAGATTTCATTATTATCATCATCCATATCTTGATTGTCTTGGTCTTTGTTATCTTCCTCATCACTTACTAAATTTTTTTTTTTAACTTTTAAAAAAAAGCTTGTAATAGAAATTGTTTCTACAGCAGCCTCTTTGTTCTTAGCCTTTTTTCATCGACGAGTTCTTTTAGAATTACCTATATACATAAGTGGACGTTTGTTGACAGTTATTTGTAGCTTGCTCATTTGGTTCATTATTTTTTTAAATGTATTACTCATAATAACATCTGCTTCTTCTTCATTTATCATTGTTCCCTCTTCAAACATTCACTATCACTAATATCATTTTCACTATTTTTACTATTTTTACTATTTCTGCTATTTTTATTATTTTCCCTATTTTTACTACTTTCAACCTTATTTAATTTATGTTGTAGTGCTTGTCAAGCGATTGAAGCATTTTGTTGTAATTGACGAGATCTTTTTGTTTTTGGTATTTTGAATGTACAAAAAACATAAAACTAGTATAACTTTTTTTTTTTTTTTGAGAAATGTCTTTTTAGATCGAATAATATAAAAAAAAAATATTAAGATTAGTATTATATGTAGTATGTTATTTATGTTAAAATTTTAACTTTAATATAAAAAAGCTTCACATACTTAAAGTAACTTAAGGTAACTTAAAGTTAATTAATATCTTTGCAGTAAAAATTTACTTATTTATTACTCTTCACTTGTACTGAACTTCTTTATACTCACATCAAACTTCCCAACATCCACACCATTCAACTTCTACACTCACACCAGCTCTCTCCTTCTTCAACCTCTACACTTATACCAACTTCTTTTTTATTGTTAGATATTATAACGTTACTAATATTATTGTGTGATATTGGTTTATTTAAGATAATATATATACAAGTAAAGGTTCAATTATGCAAAGTAAGAACACAAGTAAATATTCGATTATGCAAAACATTCGATTATAAAGGTTATACATTATTACGTTACTAATTTGTCAAATTTAAATTATACAGTTTTAAACTTATCGCTATTATGTTATCGCACATTATACTTTGCTATCAAGTGAATATTTAATTAGCCAATTAGAAATTATCAGATATTATGTGATAAGGCAATTGGCCAATCATATTTACTGGCCAAATTGAAAATTATATATGAAAATAGATAAATTTTAAAATGGTATAACTTTTAATTAAATCAAAATTTAAATAAAATAATTTAGCCAAAATATAGCTATATTAATAAAAAATATTTTGGTTAAAAAAACTTTTTAATAAATATAAAATTAAGGCTGTGTAAGTTTTTAAAAAAAGCTAGTCAAAGTTGCTAGGATAAGCTGTCCTATACTGTATAATTTATAGTTTTGAAGTATTTTAAGCACTTATGTTATCCAAATAAACAATAATACTTTTGTCTAACTGTTCTCTGAAAATATTATTTATAAGTCGCATGAATGATGCAAAGGCATTTGTTAAGCCAAAAGGTATAACCAGAAATTCAAAATGCTTATATCTTGTATGAAAGGCGGTCTTTGATATATCTTTTCCTTTTATTCTTATCTGGTAGTATCTTGATCAAAGGTCAATTTTGGAAAAGTACTTAGCACTATACAATTGATTCAATAATTCATCAATTCATGGTAAGAGATACTGATTTTTAACTGTTATTTTATTTAAAGCCCTGTAATCGATACATATCCTTAATGTTCTGTCTTTCTTTATCACAAATAGTACAGAGGTACCATATAGAGATATACTTGGTCTGATAATTCCTTTTTCTAAGAAATTTTCAATTTGCAACTTTAATTCTTTCATTTCTGGAGCTGACATATGATATGTAGGTTCAAAAGGTGGTTGTGATCTTCTTCCAACTAAATTTCATGGTCAATGCTTCTTTTTGGTAGCAACTCATTAGAAAGTTCTTTTGGAAATACGTCTTGATATTGTGTAATTATTTCTTCTAAAAATTCTGGTATATATGAATTTACTTTATCTTTTTTTCTGCTGGGTTGTCTGATACTACTATCACAAACAACTCTGCTATACCTTTTGCTTCTTGGACAAATTGTTGTCTTGTTATCAAGATTAATTAGTATTTAGTACCATTTATATTTTGGGTAGCTTCAATCTTGAAAATTCTCTGGTTATTCTTGATTTTTATTTGATTATTTCTCCAATTAATATATAGGTTAGCATTGTATAGCCATGGTTTATTCAAAATTAAATCATATTTTTGTAGTAGTAAGATTTTTATATTTTTTCTCTATTTCTTATAATTCTGTATTTTAACTAATACGTCTTCTACATTTACTTTCGATTTGCATCTAGACTTATCAGCTAATTTAACAATAGTAGGTTGTATTCACTTATTATGTCTAATTTAAATTCTTTTACAAACTGTTTATTAATAAAATCTTTAGATATACCAAAATCGAATAGAATTAAAGCTTTTTGATCTTGAACTTTTTCTTCTATTTTAAACAAACTTTTTTAATATAACTTGTTATTATTGTTGCTAGTTCTATCATTATTTCTTTTAAAGCTTTTTTTGCACTTACTTTTTCTACTTGGCTAACTCCAGTTTCTTTTGTTCATCCTTTTTATAGTTATATACAAGATAGCCTTTTTTACCACAAGCAAAACATTGTCTATTTCTTTTATAAATTTGTTTTTGTTCATTTGTTAATATTATTTCTTTCTTTTCTTTTGTAGGGATTGCCCTGCTATTATTCTTGGCCTCTGCCCTATCTAATTCTATTGGTATGGGGTTTTGTTCTGTAGCTGTTTTGAATAGTTGTCTTTTCTTTTCTGATTTTCTTGGAAATACCCACCTTTTGCCTTCTGAGCCATTACAGCCAACTCTTGATACTCCATATATTGCCATGTTATAACTGGTGACAAGCCTTACAGTTTCATCTAATGTTTCAGGAGCCTGATAGTTAACTTCAGCTTTTGTGGTCTCTTTTAGTCTATCTGTGAAGTATATCACCTTATCAGCTTTATGCATTTCTTCAATATGTTCTAACAGATTTCTAAAGCGTAATGCATATTCTTGAACTAAGATATTTGCCTAAGATCTTTTAATTGTTGCCTTAAGAGTTGTTGATAGTATGGGAGCTAGAAAGCTGCTTTAATTTCTTCTGTAAATAACATCTAATCTTCAAAAGAATTTTTATTATGATGGGTTTGGATTTTATTTAAATACTATTATAATGCGGCATTCTTTAGCCCTGTTATTATATATTATAGTCTCTCTTCATTCTCTATTTTCTGTGCCATAAACAGGAGTTTGATTTGTACTAGCCATATTGATATGTTTTTACTATCTCTTCTATGAAACACTGGAAGTTGTACTGTAAGACCTTTTGTTGCTATGCTGTTGGGTTCTTCTAGCCTATCTATTGTTCTTGAGGTTAGTTTTTTTAATGCATCTCTTGTTTCTTGTTGATTCTGCACTATTGTCACAACATACTGATTTAACAGATTTTGGTTATATATAAAATTTTTAAATAGTGTGAAAAAATTAGATAATGTTTCTTGTTCTTCGATATTTCAAAAAAAAATTTTTTTTTTTGTTAACTTTATTTTATTTTAAGGTATTTCTTTTAACCGCTACTACCAAATATAATGCAATATCCAAATTGTTCGGCAAAAGTAAGTATATTTTATTTACTTGTCTCTTTTTACCTTTATATATTGCTTTTATTAACCTCTTTATAACTACATTTTTAATGCAAATATTAAATCTTTTTATCTGTAGTTATGCTTAATTCTGCCATTACTACATAATTACTCAATACTTACACAATGGTCAGGTTACAGTTTACATTCGTCATGATTATCATGATCATTGCACAAATCATGATCATTACAATCATTATGATTATCACACGAATCATGATCATTGCATAAATCATGATTGTTATACAAATCGTGCTTAAAATAATCTATTTCTCTATATCTGCTATAATAATATAAAGCAACTAGCCAAGAATATGTGACCCAAAGTTATAATAATCAGAACCTTAATTCTCATTGATTAACAAAAGTAAAAGTATTTAAGACTAAGATAAATATAGATCATTTTTCATATAATCTATATAGTATATTGAATTTTTACATAGTAAATAAAAAAATACTTCTAATAAAACTTTATAATATCTTAATTAATATGTATCAAATTTATATGATATGTAGTTTAAAACAGTTTGTTTATGATAGTGAAGTTGCATATATATGTTATATCCCAAATAACAATCCTGTCCTGATTGCTAATTGGGACAGCCCAAATTAAAATTGTTTAAATCTAACCTTAATGTCTGGGCTAATTAATTTATAATTTTAGCCAGATTGTCATCTGAGAAAATTGTCATTTGGGGCACGACATATACATTGCTTTAAAAAATTTTAACTTTATATATAATCAAAGTTTACCCAGATCGCTATATATTTTTTCCAAATAGTACAAAGAATTGCTAATTTTGATTGGTTGAATCATATGATATTTATATGATATCTATGATATTGGTTATACTACAATCTATTTTATATGAATTCAGAAATGTTGATACCCTATCCTTAATAATGCAAATTCTGTTTGGCTCAAGGCAAAGTTCTATTGAAGTACCGTAAAGCATTGTATTCAATATTTAGAGTACAAATAAAACACTTGATTTGTATTTGGTAATTTTATGTGAAAGAAAAGATAAATCTAGTAAGAAATACTTTGAATGATTCTTAGACAAGAGTCATGTTTATTGAATAAACAAACTACACAAATATAATTGTAATTAAACAACAGTAATGAGGTTTTAATCTGATAAGATACAATTTTAGAATACTAAATTCAGTGCTCTAATGGTACAATAGTAAAGTGTTTCTTGTATTTAAATAGTGGAAACTAAAATCATAATCATATAAATGAATATGAATTACTCACCATTAGTTATAGAATTTCTCCTAATACTATAAATAGTTATATTGCTTGTAAGATTTTAATTATAGTAGCAAAAGTCCATCATATATAAAACTTATTTATTTCATATAACTAAATGGTATGAATAGATAGATATAAAAGTATTATATTAAATAAAGGCTTACTTATTCAATAGTTAGCATGTTAGATAGCATTAACAAATACCATTTCAGGTTTAACTCAAGATGAAATATAGATATTGAATAATCTAAATGAAGCTCATAGTTGTGTAAATAAGTATTGTTAAAGATGGGCAAATTATAGTTTTTTTAAAAATCTTGCATGTCATAAACAGATTATGTATATAATATATATCCTGCACAAGATTT